GGATCACCTGAGGTCAGGAGTTCGAGACCAGCCTGGCCAAAATGGTGAAAACCTGTCTCTACTAAAAATACAAAAATTAGCCAGGCGTGGTAGCGTGCAACTGTAATCCCAGCTACTCAGGAGGCTGAGGCAGGAGAATCGCTTGAACCTGGGAGGCACAGGTTCTAGTGAGCTGAGATCACACCACTGCACTCCAGCCTCGGGCACAAGAGTGAGACTTCATATAAAAAAGAAAAAATTGCTGGGTGTGGTGGCATGTGCCTGTGGTCCCAGCTATTCTGGAGGCTGAGGTGGGAGGATGTCTTGAGCCCGGGAGGCTGAGGCTGCTGCAGTGAGTTCTCATCATGCCACTTGCACTCCAATCTGGGCAACACAGGGAGATCCTGTCTCAAAAACAAACAAAAACAAAAGCTAGAAAATATTCCACATTGTAATCATTTTATGCAATGCTGGAAGATATTCTAGACAACAATGTAAATAAAGCCCAGACACCAACACTGTGACTCAGTGCACAGGACCAGCCCTAGGTGTGATGACTGCTGGAAGCCAGCTGTCCAGTGCTCCTTGAGAATCCCAACACTGGCTTCTTAAGCACAGGTCCCCTGCCCTGGAGTAGGCATCCATCCTACCAAGGATTGGCTGCAGGCTATGAGTAACCCACACTGGCAGAGCTGTGCCAAGACCACCATGCACCACTGATGACCACAGCCCATGTTCGAGGGCCGGAAAGGGCCTACTAGAAACTCAAGTTTCTCTAAGGCAGGGCAAACTGTTGGGGCTTTTTGGGACAAAAACAAGTGCCTGTCTATCTAAGCAGGAATTCATCTCTGGTTCAAAGAACAGGTTCAGGCAGCAAGGACACAGAATGCTAGGCGATGACACAGAGGCGTGAGCACATGGTGGCCCTAGCCCCTGTCACCATCTACATCCATGACATCCCCAGCCACAGCAGAGGGGGTGCCCTCTAAGTGCCACGTGTCCCACATCTGTAAGGCTGTGCCTGATTCACAGTAAGGCACCATTACTATAGATGAAACTTTATTTTAAAAAACACACAGGTCGGGCACGGTGGCTCACGCCTATAATCCCAGCACTTTGGGAGGCCGAATCACCTGAGGTCAGGAGTTTGAGACCAGCGTGACCAACATGGTGAAACCCCGTCTCTACTGAAAATACAAAAATTAGCTAGGCGTGGTAGCATGCAACTGTAATCCCAGCTACTCGGGAGGCTGAGGCAGGAGAATCGCTTGAACCCGGGAGGCAGAGGTTGCAGTGAGCTTAGATCGCGCCACTGCACTCCAGCCTGGGTGACAGAGTGAGACTCCGTCTCAAAAAAACAAAACACACACACAAATGTCTTGGGTCAGGTATGGTGTCTCATGCCTGCAATGCTAGCACTTTGGGATACCAGGATGGGTGGATCACCTGAGGTCAGGAGTTCGAGAACAGCCTGGCCAACATGGTGAAACTCCATCTTTAATAAAAATACAAAAATTAGCCAGATGTGTTGGTACGCGCCTGTAATCCTAGCTACTTGGGAGGCTGAGGCAGGAGAACTGCTTGAACCCGGGAAGTGGTTGCAGCAGACTGAGATTGCACCACTGTACTCCAGCCTGGGAGACAGAGCAAGACTCTCGTCTCAAAAAAAAAAAAAAAAAAAAAAAAAAAGGCTTTGTTTCAGTCTACCGGGAAGAGAGAAAGGGAGCAGGTGGCAGAAGTGAAGAGATGAATAGGCCAGGCTCACTCATTTTAATTTACTGGTAACTGCCAAAAAGTGGAAAGCCAGAAGGAGTGCAGGGAGCCATATGGCCTGGGCTCCTCGTTTTCCAGATGGGAAACCAAGTCTAACCAAGGCCAGAGATGCCACCAGGACACCACCAACCAGACAGCAGCTGGGTGGCTCCTACTTACCCTGTCAGTCATTTTATTACTGACTCCAAGGAGCATCAGCATATTGTCACATTCCGTGACCCCCATTGCGTAGAGGTCACTGAGGACATTGGCACATGCTATCCTGCCCTGGGAAGAGAGGGAAACATGAGAAAGGACAACCGGGAACTTTCCATCTGCAGAAACTGAGTGAGCCATGAAGCGGACTCCACAGAGAACTTGGGGACTTTCCAGGAGTGGCAGCTACTGGGATGGGGTCCTCAGTTTCTATGATTTGCAGACTGGCGACCTTTCCTGCATCACAGAGTCACCGGGCCATTCGTTTTTTTTTCTCAGACATTCATGATACCACCTCTTTCTTGTGCAGAACAAAGAATGTACCAGTTTTTCTTCATGCTAAATTTCAGAAGTCTGCAATTTATTTAGATGGCGAAGGGGTGTATGTGCAGGGAATGAGGAGAAGCAAGGTTAGAACTGACACTGTGGGGAAGAGCTACGGAGTGAAAAAGTCTGCAAACAACTCTCCTAAAGAAAAGCTGGAAACAGCCATGTATCCCAAACAGATTCTAAAAATGGCTGGCTTTAGTGGTTATAGAGAACGAGACAGTCTTTGTGCACTTGGATTAAGAAATGTTTGCAGCTTAAGCTAGATGTGATAGCTCACGCCTGTAATCCCAGCAATTTGGGAGGTCGAATTAGGTGGATTACTTGAGGCCAGGAGTTAAAGACCAGCCTGGCCAACACGGCAAAACAGTTACTACTAAAAATACAAAAATTAGCTGGGCATAGTGGCGCACACCTGTAGTCCCAGCTATTTGGGAGGCTGAGGCATAAGAATCGCTTGAACCTGGGAGGTGGAGGTTGCAGTGAGCTGAGATCATGCCGCTGCACTCTAGCCTGGGCAATAGAGCAAGACTCTGTCAATAAACAAACAAACAAACAATAAGAAAACAAAAAACGAAAAAATTGTGTAGTTGCAAGGTTGTATGAGATAAACAGAAAAATCATCTTAAGAAACAAATAAACAAAAAAAAAACCCAGGGTTGAAGTCAAATTGTTTTCAAAAAAAAAAGAGAAGCATTTCCCAGTAAATGTCATTTTATTAGGAACTTTAAAACGCAATTTAACAGAAATGTGGTAATGAAGATTTTTTTATTTCCACTGGAGATTTACAGTTAAGTTGCCCTTATCTAAATTTTTATCTTTCATAGATAGTAAAGAGAAAATACAAATTTTCCTTCTGACTTAAGGATAATCAAACTCCCAAGTGTTATCATTTCCACTGGCTGTTTAATTGATTGCTTTATGTTTTCTTACACATTCCTGGAAGTCAGCAATGCAGCTCAGCAACCGTCTGTGACTGCACTTTCAGTATCATCAAGCCAGTCCAGGAGGTCAACAGGTGGTCTACAACTTGGACAAGCCAACTGCTAGTTAGGGGGGCGGTGATTTAGTGCCCCTTCTGTTCTGGGTGCTCTCATTTTAGGAGATGCTGGAAAACAGTGGATTCTGGTTTTAGCCATCCCTGCCACCTGGTCAGGTGGGACCTAGGCTGTGGCTTATCTGCCCAGTCTCAAGAGTATTGCTCCAGAGGAGAAAACAGATGGATGTGCAGAAGGAATATAGGTTTCCAACAATCTGGTATTTGCCACTGGTACCTGAGGGAGAACACTCCCCACGTGGCTGCCTCATGATAAAGTCCTTACAGTGTAGCCTGATCCCACTGTCCTTGCCACACACGAAGAACACCTGGCATTTTATAGCAAACCGGATATTCCCAGTCTCTCCACTGGCTCCTCCTGGGTGGGAGGGAATTGGGGTTAAAGGTTGGGTGGATCAAAGGGTGGCTGGCTGCAACTACGCAGTGAACAACTGGGGAACACAGTTCAGCAGTACATCATCAATAGCTAGGAACTTTAACTCAGTGGTCAGAAACCTACTACGCACAGCGGCACATCACACGGTGGTAGGTGTGCAGGTAGCTGGGTTGAGTGAATTAACCAAATATCAGAATTAATGGTTGAGACATCTAACTGTGATGAGATACTAGCTCCTTGATTTCTTGAAAGAAACATTTAGAATCAGTCCTATTACAGAGGACAGTAACATCCCCCACCTAAAACAGAGGGGTGACGGAAGTTACCAATGTCAAAGACAGGAGAGTGCAAGAAAGAAGAAAACGACAAAAGCCTTAGTTCATTGACACACTACTAAACAAGAGGTGTTCTTACGCACAGCATGTACTCAGGTGCAACAGCAGCAGAGGGCCTTCCCTGCTTCCTCTCTAATTGCTTTATGCCCAGTGCCAAGTGTGGGCAGGGGACAGGCCCGACGTCAGCGACTGCAGGAGCCTGGGCAGGGTGGGGCAGTATAGTCGGGATGTAACAGAAATAAAACCAAAACCCCACAGACACATACAAAACCCCAGCCACAACCCAAACCAAACGAATAAGCCCTTCCAGTCACCAAAACACATCAGCTCATGCTTACCATCATGTAAGGGTCGTCTACGATTGGGTAAATGTAATCTGTGGTTTGAACCAAGGAAAGCCCACCGTGCCTCAAAGGAATGACACAAGTATCCATTCCAATGCCTGTGGAGATGGAAGTTATTAGCATCCACAAATAAAACGGGAAAGCCATTTCATTTTATACCACCAGTACACTGAACAGGAAGAGCTCATAAGATACTTATGGAAACTGCAGGCTGCCAATGAAGCCATGTGTTTCCTATCAAGAAGCGTAACTGAAATAAACGTGAAACATATCCAGCTTAGGATGGAAAATACCAATGAAAATGTTACTCATCAAGACTCAACTCCAATATGGCACAGTTTTAAAACCTTAATGACGCCTTGAATAAAAATCTTTTTCACTGTCAGATTTTTATTATATTATTTTACTGTATTACTGTAGCATGTGACTGGTACCATATGCAATTTCTTTGAAAATGAGAATCCTATAAATGGAGCTGGGGTTATCTCAATTATAGTTATTTTAAGTAAATCTTTAGCCATTATCATATTGACTCATCAGAAAATCTGTAAAATATTTTTTTTTTTTTTTTTTGAGACGGAGTCTCGCTCTGGCTGCAGGCTCCCGGGCTGGAGTGCAGTGGCGTGATCTCGGCTCACTGCAAGCTCCTCGCCTCCCGGGTTCACGCCATTCTCCTGCCTCAGCCTCCTGAGTAGCTGGGACTACAGGCGCCCGTCACCACGCCCGGCTAGTTTTTTGTATTTTTTAGTAGAGACGGGGTTTCACCGTGTTAGCCAGGATGGTCTCGATCTCCTGACCTCGTGATCCGCCCGTCTCGGCCTCCCAAAGTGCTGGGATTACAGGCTTGAGCCACTGCGCCCGGCCGGAAAATCTGTAAAATATTTTTACATTGAAAAATGCTATTACTACTTTTACATTTTAGTCAAAACTGAAAATGACACACGCACAGATTAAATGAAAAGAATAAATCCCAATTGACAATTCAACTAAAATTTCCAATCAAGCATGTATATAAACACTCTGGCGTCTATGTCAGAGTAGTCAAGACTACCAGTAGTAGTCAAGATAAGCTACTCCTTGTCTTGGAGACAAGGCTGTACTCCTTTAAAAATTACCTGTAACGCAGGCATTTTACAAACTCAGGCTAGCATTCCCACCAAGAAAGCTGAAGACAGTGAGCAGCCTCCACCCCTCAGAAGGACACTCTTCTGGCCTCTTCTGAGGACAGCTGTTCCTTGGTATCGTGGGGGACTGGTTCCAGGACTCCCACAGACACCAAAATCCACAGATGCTCAAATCCCTGATTTGAAATGTCCCAATATTTGCATATAACCTACGCACATCTTCTCACATACCTTAAATCATCTCTAGATCACCTATGATACCTAATATGATGTAAATGCAATGTAAATATTTGTTATACTGTATTGTTTAGGGAATAATGACAAGACCAAAAAAGAAAAAAAAAATTCTGTACATGTTAAGACGCAACCATCCATTTTTTTCCCCCTGCATATTTTCAGTCTGTGGTTGGTTGAATCCCCTGACGAGGATTCCGCAGACACGGAGGGGGCCGCTGTACTTCTACTTTGCAGTCCAACAGCCAAAAGCAGGGAAAAAGCCAGAATTAGGACAAAAGGAAGCAAATTATGTGCTTGAATCTACCCTATAAATTCAGAATTTCAAACAAGTATAAATCAAATTTGAATCGCACTAAAACGACCTTTAATACTCTGTGTAAGCGGAAGAGCCGGGAAGCACTGCCTCAGTCGGTCTCACCACAGCAGCAGACCTCACAGAGGCGGGTCATGGAGGCACCAGATCTTTTCTGCCGCAAAAATGAAATCGCACTGAATAAAAAGCCATAGGCTGTGAAGACAGGCTGATTTTTTATTACACTAGATGACAAAGCAGAAACTCTTGCTGGAAGACCTCGCTTAGTGAATGGAGAACTGAAGATCAGAATGGCAAGTTTCAACCATTTCAGGCACTGGATCAGTTTTCATTTGTCAGAGGAGAATGTGTGCGATAATTCACGTAAACAGCCGCTGGGCAACACCTCTCAGAAATTTGTCTCACCACACTCTTTAGCACCTTTATATAGAAATACCACTCTTTAACTCAATGGATTCTCCCTAAATGATAATTCCGACAACTGGTTATTCTGAGTATATTACTATTTACTTTGGAAAACAGTAAGAGGCAGTTTTCTTTCAGACTTCCATTTAAACTGGAGGACTACTGAAAGAGACACTAAAATCCTTGCTGAAAGTTAGCGTTAAATGTTCTTGATTTGAATAACCTTAAATTTGAATTAAATGTATTTGATTCGTAAAGCGCTTTATTTCTAAATTTAGCAAGTCCTTTGATCAGAGTAACTGGGGACTCCTGAGCACGCCTCTAGGGCTGAAAAGCAGCTCCGTTCCACGGTTTCTCTTTCACACCTGTGCCACCAGTCTACTAAAATAGGGTCTAGTGCTGTCCAATGTGGTGTGGCACCAGAGGGCTGGCTGTGTGCGCATCTGACAAAGAGGTGCTATAAGTATAAAACAGACACCTGATTTTAAACACCTAGTACCAAAAACCAACATCTCATTATAATATTTTATATACACATATTGAAAAGACATTTTTTCGGCCAGGCGCAGTGGCTCAAGCCTGTAATGCCAGCACTTTGGGAGGCCGAGGCGGGCGGATCATGAGGTCAGGAGATCGAGGCCATCCTGGTTAACAGGGTGAAACCCCGTCTCTACTAAAAATACAAAAAATTAGCCAGGTTTGGTGGTGGGCACTTGCAGTCCCAGCTACTCGGGAGGCTGAGGCGGGAGAATGGCCTGAACCCGAGAGGCGGAGCTTGCAGTGAGCCGAGATTGCACCACTGCACTCTATAGCCTGGCCCACAGAGCGAGACTCAGTCTCAAAAAAAAAAAAAAAGAAAAGGGGCTGGGCGCGGTGGCTCATGCTTGTAATCCCAGCACTTTGGGAGGCCGAGGTGGGTGGATCACGAGGTCAGGAGATCAAGACTATCCTGGCTAACACGGTGAAACCCCGTCTCTACTAAAAATACAAAAAAATTAGCTGGGCGCGGTGGCAGGCGCCTGTAGCCCCAGCTACTTGGGAGGCTGAGGCAGGAGAATTGCGTGAACCCGGGAAGCAGAGCTTGCAGTGAGCCGAGATCATGCCACTGCACTCCAGCCTGGATGACAAAGAGAGACTCCGTCTCAAAAAAACAAACAAACAAACAAAAAAAAACATTTTATTTTTATATATTTTGTTAAATAAAATAGATTATAATTAATTCCACCTGATTCTTGTTATCAGGTTTTTAAAAATATGACTACTATAAATTTGAAAATTACACATGTGGTTTGCATTGTATTTTTGGACAGCACAGGTCTATAGTGATTGGTTTAGAAATCACCAATCACATTTCAAGGAAGGAAGAGAGAAGGGGTGAGCCTGAGATGCCCACAGGCCTTGAAAAACTAGGGTTTCGAATGACAAGAGAGAGGGAAGGTCCAGAGGGAAGGTGACTGGGAACAGAGGCAAATGCCACAGGGTCGGGGAAGCGTTAAATACTAGACTGGGCAGGTTAGGTTTAATGACCAGGAGGCAATAGGCAATCCTGCTGGAAGGTTTTCAGCAATACTGACCTCCTCTATCAGAAAGACAACCCAAGGCATCATACCACTGCCACCCAGCCCCACCCGCCCGCACCATCCCCGCAACAGCAGCAATCATAACTTGATAGCTCTTAGGTACCAGGCAACAGATGTCTCAGGTTCTAAGGCACACTTCTTTTAACGTTTCTTAGTTTGGATACATTTAGTAATTGTGTGTACATTTAAAAGCTATTTTGGTTAACCCTTCAATTAACACCATTTCTGAAGCCAGATAACATGACATTCAATTAGAAAAAAGTTAAAAACATAAAAGAGACTGGGCACAGGGGCTCATGCCTTTAATCCCAGCACTTTGGGAGGCCGAGGTGGGCGGATCACTTAGAGTCAGGAGTTCCAGAGCAACCTGGCCAACATGGTGAAACCCTATCTCTATTAAAAATACAAAAAAATTAGCTGGGTGTGGTGGTGCGTGCCTGTTATTCCAGCTACTTGGAGGGAGGCTGAGGCATGAGAATCGTTTGAACCTTGGAGGCAGAGGTTGCAGTAAGCTGAGAGTGTACCACTGTATTCAAACCTGGGTGATGGAGTGAGACTCTGTCTCAAGAAAAAAAAAAAAGTTAAAAAAATATACAGCTGGGCGCAGTGGCTCACGCTTGTAATCCCATCACTTTGGGAGGCTGAGGTGGGCGGATAACCTGAGTTCACAATCTCGGCTCACTGCAACCTCCACTTCACGGGTTCAAGCAATTCTCCTGCCTCCACCTCCCAGGTAGCTGGGACTACAGGCACATGCCACCACGCCTGGCTAAATTTTTTTGTGTTTTTGGTAGGGATGGGGTTTCACCTTGTTGCCCAGGCTGCTCTTGAACTCCTGACCTCGAGTGATCTGCCCACCTTGGCCTCCCAAAGTGCTGGGATTACAGGCATGAGCCACTGCACCCAACCCCAAACAGTAATTATTATTTTACAGATTAGGAAGCTGAGGCTCAGGAGGGCTGGGTGACATTCACGACGTAATATGAGTGACAGTAAGTGACTGTGCCAGAGGAAGTTATAAATAGTAATTCTTACTTTATCCCGTAATGTTTTAATTTCATTGGTTTTTGAGCATTAAGTATTAATAGCTTTTTTTCTTGACAGTTATGTAACAGCTTCCTCAGTATATTCTCATTTCTTGACAAATAAGCCAACATCAAATCCAGCTAGCCCACGTGGTATTTCTCCAAAGCTTGACCATCAGCTGGATGGCAGGAACTGTTTTCAAACTGAGCTCCTGAAAGTCCTGCAGGTCACCAGGGACTGGGGCGTAACATTTCTTCCCTTCCAACCACAGCAAGTCTGCTTTCATCTGCTTTCTCTATCTGGGAGGAAAGGAGACCCCAGGCTCATAATCAGTGAACTTTACAAAATAATGGCCAAAAAGAAATGAAATGAAAACCTTGGCTGGGTGTGGTGGCTTATGCCTGTAATCCCAGCATTTTGGGAGGCTGAGGCAGGCGGATCGCCTGAGATCAGGAGTTCCAGACCAGCCCCGCCAACACGGTGAAACTCTGTCTCTACTAAAAAGACAAAAATTAGCTGGGTGTGGTGGCGGGCCCCTATAATCCCAGCTACTCAGGAGGTTGAGGCAGGAGAATCACTTGAACCCGGGAGGCAGTGGTTGCAGTGAGCCAAGATCACGCCACTGCACTCCAGCCTGGGCGACAGAATGAGACTCCACTTCAAAAAAAAAGGAAGAAAACTGAGCAAGTCACACAGTAATTACAGAACATCCAAACCTCCAATACTATGTGTCCAACACAAGTGATCATAGTCTTGTACCATGTACTTAATATACTGCACAAGAAACATGAATAAACAATACCCCGGGAGCCCAGAATTTGTTTCTAAGCTCTGCGTTTGGGAAAAGTGAAATCACTCATGACATCAGGAATTTAGTAAAGAAAAAGACATTGCCCTCGTTCTAGAAGACAAGCTGGGGTCAAGAATAGATCCATTCAGTCCTGGGTGTGGAGCAGTCCCACCTTCTCCCTGCAACATGATTTTCACCCAATGCACCTTGCAGACAACCCCAATGCTCTCCTGACACAGTCACTGCCATCCAAGTACAGTAAAAAAAGTTTTATTAAAAAAGTTTTGTTATATTACAGTAAAAAAGTTTTTACTGTAATATAACAATCTCAATCGCATAGTCCATAATTTTAAAAACTGTCAAGAGTACCCCTCTTGATGCGTTTCAAGTACTTTCTCTATATAAGTTACAAGAACATAACATAGTTACCATTGATTGCTCTTCTAATCCTTCTCACAAAAATTCAAAAAAAATAAAAGGGGGTACAATGTACACTATTTGGGTGATGGCCACACTAAAAGCCCAGTCTTTACCATTATGTAATATATTCATGTAACAAAACTGCATGTGTATTCTCCGAATCTATAAAAGCAAAAAAATTAATAAAAAATAAATAGGCAACATGGGAGGCGAGATATCTGGTTTTTGACTCACTGATTGGATTGCAGACCATCAAAGAAACACTGGGTTACCTACCAAGCCTTGGCATAACGGCTCCCAGAAACTGCTCATCTTCTTGGAAGTGGTTCTCTTGTAAAGATTCCAGCAATTTTTGCAGGACATCTTGGGGCACTTTGCAGCCTGTGCCCTTCAGTTCAGTGAATCTGGTTAGCCGGAAGCTTTTGTCCAATTCGTAACTTTCCGGGTTAAAGGACTCCCGCGTAGACATGGTTCTTGGGCCCCGCTCTCCTCACAGCTCAGCCCCTCCCCTCCCTCTGCGGGTTGGCTGGGTTCTTTATGGATCCACCTGGGTGTCACCAAAACACAAAGATGCCATGAAAAGAATTCCCACGGGAACCTGCCAGCGAATCAAGTGAATACATGACAGGAAAAAGTAAATGTGACAAGGGCTGAAATCATCAAGACCACTTATATTCATCACAGCAGAGCACATGACAAAATAGATCTTTTCATAAAGGGACTATGTCAGCACAGACATCTATGCAAGACCTGACATCTGGACTGTGGTTTTAACTGTGGCAAGAGGGCCAGCCTGCAGGTTCACATGACACTATGCCACCTTGAACAGCAAGTCCCAAAGGTTCTTCTAGGACTCAGCATTAGAACAGTACCTCTGGGCACTTCATATGTCAACCTGGAAGCACTGTGGTTTAGAAAGTGGCAGCCCTCACTAAGGTGACTTTTCTGGAAAATCTTTTGGTATCTTTTGCTTTATCACATAGAAAAATGAAACGCTCAATACAAACTTGGCAGAAAAGGACATTAATGTAAATGCACTGGACAAAATTCTTCACGATGTTAAATCCTAATTCTAGAAAAACACGTTTTCCCTCTGTGTCCAAAGAATATACAACAAAAGGCTGGGCGTGGTGTCTCATGCCTATAGTCCCGGCACTTTGGGAGGCCAAGGTGGGTGGATCACCTCAAGTCAGGAGACCAGCCTGGCCAACATGGCGACACCCCCGTCTCTACTAAAAGTACAAAAATTAGCCGAGGGTGGCGGTGCGCACCTGTAATCCCAGCTACTTGAGAGGCTGAGGCAAGAGAATCGCTTGAACGTGGGAAGCGGAGGTTGCCGTGAGCTGAGATCGAGCCACTGCACTCCAGCCCGGGCAACAGACTCCGTCTCAAAAAATAAATAAATAAACAAATAAATAAAATATACAATGCAATCCAAAACTAATAGGAGTCCTCTATAAAGGGCACAACTTAAAAACTGCAATGGCACTTTAACACAGCAAGGTCTGTGTTCTTCAGCAGAATGCTTGGAAAGTTCTCTGAAGTTTTCATGTAGTGCTATTTCCTAGAAAGCAAACATCCAGCCCAGCAAACTAGTACACACATCATTGACAAAATGTGCTACTCCTCATTACCATTTCATTGCAGAACCTTAACAATAAATTAAGCCATACTAAATCACCAGCATTTCGGCCCTGTGTACCACTGTTAGGTTTCTGGAACAAGCATTCCTACGTTTTTTAGCCTTTGGGGCTAAAGGAAAAAACAACATGTGTTCCTCGAGTTTACAAACCTCCAGACAGATACTTTATTGGGACTAGAATTACAGACACCCCAAGTTTTAAGGTCAGTTTCCCCTATAAAATTTATATTAAGAACATAACTCCCATTTATAGAGTTTTCCATCCCTTGGGACGCACATCGCTCATATAAATCTCAAGAAGCCCGAGTTTGGGCAGTAATCCAAACCGTCTTCACAAAAACACGGTTTGAGATGAGCAATGATTTCGGTGGGAAACGTAACAACTGAACAGGAGTCAACCTTCCTACACGATCCCAAGAAGCCTCCCTGCCCAAAAAGAGCAGGCGCCGGCCGCAAGTGACAGAGAAGAGAATTTTGAAGCCATCTTAGAGTCAGGGGAAAGTTTGAATACCACTTTGACTTGGAAGGCGTTTCAACAAAAACAACGAAGTCCTTTCCTCAAAAAACACCTCGCATTTAACACAGCCTCACCCCAAAAAAAAAAAAAAGAAAAGAAAGAAAAAATCCAACTCAAGAGGCATCCAGTTATTTTCCTACCTCCCATCTATATTCGTCTCCCGGCTCCCAAAAAGGTGGGGAGGAAAATTGTGGGGAGATCACTTCCTTTTAAAACACTATCTTCTCAGAGTTTTAAGGGGGGGGAGTTTAAAACACCTTGTATCAGGAGGGCGCTCAGATTTAAAATTAGAAATGGTACGAAGGACACAAATCAGCCTCACATCCTAATGAAAAAGGTACCAGATTCTTACATTTTTGGAGGGCATGGGAAGGAGGAGGCGTGCTGGGGGAAATGTGCAGTGATTAGGGAACCAGGGGGATCCATTTGCATTAATAAGGGACGGTGCCCCGCGACCCCGCAGCCACATGTTTACGCCTTTAAAACAATGGCATGAATATTTAAAGCAACGTTTAGCCCTTTCCTTCCCGGGAACGTTTCCAGTTTGGTTTTTTTTTTTTCTCCTCCAAAGAGCGTGCGTAGCCGGGGAGCCGGTCAGCGGGGTGGGCCCGGCGCGCTGC